TCTGTAGCGTGGTGTCGTGTCGAGATTAACTATGAACACCGCTATCAAAAAACACGTGCCAAATAAATCAGAAGGCGAAGGTTGGACGTAACCAAAGAAACCCATAAAACCTCCGAGAAGCCAAATATCAGAAGGCAAGTAATGGACCAAGTCGAGTTATATTTGCTGGCGATCTCGTGGCATCGAGAGGATACCGAGATCGTGCCAGGATACAACCTTGGTTACAGAAGGTAACCGAATTCGCGCGAAGTTACAATCAAAGTGGGTGTATATGAATGGAAGCACAAAATAGCTGTCATTAGCACAGTCAAACAAAAGCACGTTAAAACAAACACTGGTACAGTTGGTTATAATAATAATTGTTTTTATTAAACCAGTCGTGTTCTCGTGATAAATGTGAGTCACTACAAACTTTTCATAATTAACTAACAGTTGTTTTAATGAAACATAGTAACTGATAGAATTAAAACACTTAATGTTATTTATGGTATTTTATGATTGTTTACTAAAACAATTTGAACTCGTCTTGTGGACATATAATACACTTTATGTCATAAGTAGAATAACCTTAGTTATTGTATTTAAAAGTTGTCAGTAATTATATTTCTTTTACATCGATAGTAAACTTGAAAAATAAACTTAACAGTTTTCAAATTCATTTGGATATTCATACCTTTTATTCTTCACTATTTTTGTAATTACAATTTACCTAATTATTTGTATATATCCATATATACCTCAGCCAACTGTATAAATTTTACATAATAATCTAATGTTTGTTCTACTTTGAATGTTGAGATAATTGTTTATCATTTTGTATTATCTTAATTGCTCTTATTACGACTAATTGTCATTTTCTAATTATCACTTTTAAATGTTTTAATTTTAATTATATATACTCCTATTTGTGTGATCATTATCTTTAACGCTAACTCACAAATTAACTGAATTAGTTAAATGTTTGACATTCTGTAAACAATGCCATAAAAGTATTAGTAATAATAATTTAGGTACTTATTTAACTAGCATAAGAAAGAGCATCTGTGTTTTTTCAAACACAATAATAGACCAAGACTAATACGGGTTGTATTTAGCTCCAGGGATTTTGAGAAACATTTGGAGATACCTTCTGAAAAGATTAATATATATGAAATAAATCCTCTGCTCAGACTGTTAATTTACGAGATCAACTGCCTATCAACTTCTACCTTCACGATTATCATATCTTCATATAACTTGTATTCTCTTTGCCACTTTACATATGTATGGATATGAAGGACTAGAAACCTGTTTAGTACCATGGAACTTTATTATTTATGTGCATACTATGTACCAAATACGTATACACAGTCATATATATATACAAAAGCTCAATCTTGCAGCATCTAGTTGATTCCGGCCACTTTGCTTCACCAGAGGCCTTCTTCCACGACACAATCCATTCGTATAACTTGTTTATGTCCTCTAGAATTACCGTTGAAATATAGTTTTCTTTGGTAAGAAACAAGAATCAATAAACTTCTTTTAGATCAGAAAGGAAAGATTTACCATGTTCAAAGAGTGAGCACGTGTCATTGATGAAAAGGAGAAAGATTAATGGACTTGTAGTGACTCACATTTATCACGAGAACACGACTGGTTTAATAAAAACAATTATTATTATAACCAACTGTACCAGTGTTTGTTTTAACGTGCTTTTGTTTGACTGTGCTAATGACAGCTATTTTGTGCTTCCATTCATATACACCCACTTTGATTGTAACTTCGCGCGAATTCGGTTACCTTCTGTAACCAAGGTTGTATCCTGGCACGATCTCGGTATCCTCTCGATGCCACGAGATCGCCAGCAAATATAACTCGACTTGGTCCATTACTTGCCTTCTGATATTTGGCTTCTCGGAGGTTTTATGGGTTTCTTTGGTTACGTCCAACCTTCGCCTTCTGATTTATTTGGCACGTGTTTTTTGATAGCGGTGTTCATAATTAATCTCAACTCGACGCCACGCTACAAGTTCCTTTACTTTGTGTAAAATAATAGTGATGTAACTTACTCACTTACTTACGCCTGTTACTCCTAATGTAGCATAGGCCACCGACCAGCATTCTCCAACACACTCTGTCCTGGGCCTTCTTTTCTAATTCCATCCAATCCTTGTTCATTTTTCTCATGTCTATCTCCATTTCCCGACGTAATGTGTTCTTTGGTCTTCCTCTTCTCCTTTGGCCTTCAGGATTCCATGTAAGGACTTGTCTTGTGACGCAGTTGGGTGCTTTCCTCAATGTGTGTCCTATCCACTTCCAGCGCTTCTTCCTAATTTCTTCCTCCGCTGGGATCTGGTTTGTTCTTTCCCACAGTTGGTTGTTGCTAATAGTGTCCGGCCAATGGATCCAAAGTACATTGCGTCGACAGCTGTTAATAAACACCTGTATTTTCTGGATGATGGCTTTCGTAGTTCTCCAGGTTTCCGCCCCATACAGTGGATCTGTCTTGACATTTGTATTGAAAATCTTGACCTTGGTGTTGGTTGACAGTTGCTTTGAGTTCCAGGTGTTCTTCAGTTGTGAATATGCTGTTCTTGCTTTACCGACCCTCGCTTTCACATCTGCATCAAATCCACCATTTTCATCAATGATGCTGCCCAAATATGTAAAGGTTTTTACATTTTACAAATCTTCTCCGTAATTGCGACTGTACACTATTGATCCTTACGGAATCCGGCCTGTTAGCCTCGAAGTTGGGTGTCTACGGAGTCTTTCATTCTGTTTAACAGCACCGATTTGAAGACTTTTCCTGGTATTGAGAGATGCCCCTGTAGTTCATACACTTTCTGAGGTCGCCTTTCTTTGGTATCTTGATCAGGTATCCTTCTCTCCAGTCTGTTAGCGCTTGTTCTTCATCCCAAATCTTGCTGAAGAGAATGTGCAATATCCTTACAGTCGCCGCTACGTCTGCTTTTAGTGCCTCTGCTAGAATGTTGTCCGGTCCTGCTGCTTTGCCACCCTTGATTTGTCTGATGGCCATGTTAATTTCTTCAATTGTTGGTGGGCCAACATTGATTGGGAGGTCCGTGGGTGCTGCTTCGATGTTGGGTGGGTTCAGTGGAGCTGGTCGATTCAAGAGTTCTTTAAAGTGTTCTACCCATCTGTTTCACTTTTTTTTCGATGTTGGTGATTACGTTCCCTTCCTTGCTTTTCACTGGTCGTTCTGGTTTACAATGATTTCCAGAGAGTTTCTTTGTTGTGTCATACAATTGTCTCATGTTTCCTACTCTTGCAGCCTTTTCCGCCGTCGTTGCTAAATCCTCCACATATTAACTTTTGTCGGTTCTGATGCTCCTCTTCACTTGTTTGTTTACTTCTGTGTATTCGGCTTGTGCCTTGGCTTTTTCTGCTCTTGTTCGACTGGTTTTGATTGCTACTTTCTTGTTCCTCCTTTCTTGAATCTTATCCAGTGTATCAACAGTGATCCATTCCTTGTGATGGTGCTTCTTGTGACCCAGGACCTCGTGACATGTTGAAGTGATTGCCTCTTTGATCCTCTTCCAGTTGCTCTCCACAGTAGTTCTTTCTCCATTGAGTAGATCATGAAAGGCCTGGAACTTATTGCTGAGGACTATCTTGAATTCGTTGAGTTTGTCAGTATCCTGAAGAAAGGCCGTATTGAAATTTTGTGATATTGTCCGCCTCGTTGTCCAGTGCTTCTTGAGTTTCAGTTTCATCTTGGCGACCAGCAAGTGATGATCTGATGCTATATCAGCTCCTCTCTTGGTTCGCACGTCCTCTATGGTCCTCCTGAACGTTTTGTTGATGCAGATATGGTGGATTTGGTTTTTTGTAGTGTGATCCGGTGAAGTCCATGTGGTTTTGTGTGTGCGTTTATGTGGGAATATGGTGCCGCCTATGACCAGCTTATTGAAGACACATAGATTTGCAAATCTCTCACCATTTTCATTTCTTTCTCCCAGTTCGTGTCGTCCCATGATGTATTCATATCCGGTGTTGTCCGTTCTAACCTTGGCGTTGAAATCTCCCATCAGAATGGTCAGGTCCATTGTTGGGCACTTCTCGACGATTGACTGCAGCCTATTGTAGAATCGATCTTTAGTGTCTTCATTGTAATCGTTGGTAGGCGCATAGCATTGGATGATGTTCATTGGAATGCCCTCTTTCTTTGTTTTGAAGGAGGCTTTGATGATCCTTGATCCATGAGATTCCCATCCTATAAGTGCCTTTTGTGCTTGTTTAGACAGCATCAGTGCAACTCCTTGTGTATGTGGGGCATTTTTTTCATCATGGCTGGAGTATAACAGGAGTTCTCCTGAAGCTAGTCGTTGTTGTCCAACTTCCGTCCAATGTGTTTCACTGATCCCAGGCACCTCTAGGTTGTATCTCATAATTTCTGCATCAATTCAGAAGACTCTCCCAGTCTCCCAAATTGTAAGAGTATTCCATTTACCTAAATAAATGGTTGCTCTGGTTGTCAGAAGGGGCATCGGCCTCGTGACTTCCGAAGGAACTCGGCTTTCATCATGAGGCGTCATAGTTCATCTAAATAAAGACCTTCTGACTCCCAGGGCAGAGTTTAAATGGCTTGAATAATTTTTTTTAGAGGGTTAGTTTTCTACGGGATGGAGTCGCTAACCCCATGCTCAACCCTCCTCGTTTTTCTGGGCTTGGGACCGACAGTAGCCCCCGGAGGGACTCCAGGCGGAGTTAATAGTGACATAATCTAATAATAAAATAACAGTAATGTTCAGAATCTTCATTTCTTCTTAAGTTTGCTATGATGAACAATAAAATGCTTTACAGACCGATGTATTTACTGATCGGTTATGATATTATTAACTTGTTTGAACAAAGCAAATCAATAAATAAAATTATATAAGGAATTTGATACGTTAATGTTTTTATTATGAAATTTCAGTCTTTCAAGAAGAATATAAAGACGAGTTTAATATAGATTATTAGTATTTGTTTGTGAGAAAGATCAGTAATTAACTATGGGATCTGCCCTTGGAATTATAATATTGATTTGCCTACTTAATGAATCAATAAAAGGTAAGTTATTATGTTTACATTACAGAAAAATACTTATTCAGTGCAATACAAATAGGTTTGAATTGATAATAAATATGACTATTTCGAAATCAAAAACAAATTTAGATAATAAGTGTTTATTTTGAAATTTTCTAATCATAAGTAGCTAAATAACGCTTTTTCCTCATAAATTCTCTTGGTATTTTTACTTGAATTTTCCACTTGATGTTTAGGACTGCGATTGACCAGTAAAAAAAACCAAGTGAATTTTAACTTCACCACATTGCACAAGCAGGCGGCTATCCGAACTCAATAGTTAAGTGGATAACGCGATGGCGTTTGAAGCGAACGGTGCCGGGTTCGAGTCCCAGAGTTAACATTAGCCCTGAGATGCAGGTACATCCAGCTGTTGAGTCCAAAATAAGACGGAACTCGTGTTCTGGATCCCACTGCTAGCCACTATCTATCTTTGATTATAATGCTTTTTCCTTATTCCTGTAATTATTAAGTTATTAAAAGATACGTATTTAATTGATCGCGTAACATTTGTGAACTGTTGATCTGGTTCACTGAAATTATTATTTTAGTGTAAGCAGTTTTTTGAACAGAAAATTGATTATTCTATTGTGCATGTAATACAATCGATCACAATCGTAAATAAAGTAAATAATACAATGCACAATCAAGTATAGTATTGAATTACATAGTTATCCATTAAAAATTGCATACACAATAGCATTTTAACGTTGATGCATTTGTACATTCTGAGAATACCGGATAATGTAACTTGCTTCATAGGAGCATTCACACTAAAACACTTTAAACGAGGCGTCTAGTCTTTATACTTAATCTTTCTGCCTCGACATTACAAAAGGAAGAGTGGAAATTGTTGTTTATAGCTTTACCGAATTACACGATGTTCAGCGTCGTGCATAATTTCTTAAATTGAAATTTCGCTGACTGGGTTTCTTTAAAAATACTAGAAGACAAGTAGCGAATCCATAATCAGTCTAAACGCCTCTTTTTTTTACTTCTGTGTAAAAGTTTTCCCATTAATCTTGTTTATTTTTCAATTTTCATGCGATAATTAAAACCTGACGAATAACATGTCCGTCATCAAAATTTACTGAAAGAAGTAACTCAAATAAGTTTTACAGAACGATAAATAAGTTGTAGATTGAAAAAATCAGTAGTGGGTTATAAAACGCGACAATTAAGATTACTAAGTGAATAAACTAATCAGCGACCTTATTTTTTCAGCGTCCGAAGTTCCGAGTAAGTGAAAAGCTATTTTAAATTTTTATTATTATTATTATTATTATTATTATTATTATTATTATTATTATTATTATTATTATTATTATTATTATTATTATTATTAATGTCTTCTTCGCTTCACGATAGTTTAAATTTTACATTCATTGTTTATAACTATGTTGAATATTATTACAATCGAACAAAACGGTATTATAATCAACTTCAGGAAGAAGACAATTATAACACATGAAAATTTATTATGCACCGAAAGCGGGCCAAAACCATATCTGCCTACCTTGAGCTTTGAATATTCAATTATACTGATCAACACTGAAGTTTAAATAAATTTAATTGATTAGTACTATACATCAATTATTTGACAAAATAAAGTAGAAACCCAGTCCATATAATAAAATTATACTTCTAAAGCCAACCAACGTAATTAATTTACAGAGTCACATAATTACTCATTTCTAACGCCTTCCTCTCCTTAGTTGGTTAAATGTTGGTAGGTCTTTGTGAGGAGTCAACCGAGAAGTTAGTTGTCCCTCCTCATAACGATTAGGTTCTCTTTAGGTGGCTGTGTGGTTGACGCTCAGGTCACTGTTAGTTTTATATTTTTCCCTTGGATCTTCCGTTAATATTTCTCCTGTAAAGTCTCCAACCTTTAGTTATTGCTATTATACTTGCACTACTGTCTTTCGACGTGACAAGTATGTCTTGTCTGTATGAGTCATCCACTTCCACTGTAGACATGACTGTGACTGCTCTGTTTTATTATTATTATTTATTATTATTATTACTATTATTATTATTAATGACTTTATTCAATATTATATTTCGGTACAATATAGAATTCTCAGCACAGGGTATTTCAACAAGTTTCTTACACAGAAAACAGAAACAAAGACAAAAAAAGTTTAAAAAAATCTGAAAAATAGTACAACATTTAAAATTAAAGTCATGTTAAGAATGCAGGTTATTGGCTAGGTTAACTCTAACAACCTGTTCGTCACAGAGTATATTTGCTAGGTAAGGTATTATAGAACTTTTATACTTTTCCTTGCGTGCATGGATTTTAATGTAATTACGTCTCGTTCTACCAGAAGATATACAAGGAGAAAGATAAGAGTGAAGGGGATGGCTAGTATCTGATAAAATGACACCTGCCAGGAGTTTGCATGATCTTAAATGTCTATCCACAACCATATTAATTATGACCTCGAAAGATTCACCACACACCTTGCTAACTGCCTTCAGCACTCTTCGCAATACAGCAAAGTCTTTCCTCAAAAGCCCGGGAAAGAATAATGGAGAACAGTAAAGAATAATAAGTAATATGCAAGAATTGACAAATTGTAAGAGTAAATGACGAGTAATTCCAAGAGCATGCAATCTCTTTATGTAGTAGATCAGACGGAAAATCTACTTCGATAACGATAAAACGTGGGAAGACCAAAACAGATCGGAGAAAAAGGTGACACCAAGATAATTGACCTTCGACACTGAGTTTATCAAAGAGTCTCCGATGGTACAAGCACTATGGGATCTCAAAATGGTGTTTAGATTCCGTTCATGTCTCATGCTAAAGTTAACAGCTTGACATTTAGACGGATTAAGTATGAGACCATTACCAACAGACCAACAATCAATACGAGACAAAAACTCATTCATTTCTATGGGATGTAAAGAGGAAGAGATAGGCAGTTCCACACGTTAATCGTGGTCCGGAACTGTAGAAATCAAGCATTCATACTGCTTCGTTCTGGTGGAAACTTCTTGTTTTGATACAGTTGTTTAGTTATCCACTGTCGTTATTTATTTATTTATTCTATCTTGATACCCTGTAATGTAAAGTACTTCGGATTTTTTTCACGTAAATATATCTTTTCAGGTGATATCCTGTTCACTGTTACTTGAAAACTGCAAACTGACATTTACAAGAACAAGAGAGAATGCAAAATTGAGGGCGAATAAAGATTTTATTCATAGTCCAAACATTTTGTAACTCTTCTACATAAACTTGCTTGTACATAGATTCTTACGGTGATTTGATGATTAGTCATCAAGTGATTTTTCCCTGAATCAACATAAAAATCTACTGAATATTGTGGTGCATGAATAATACAGTAAACTGATGTAAAGAGACTGGCACACTGAATAGACGTCACAGTAAACTGAAAAGACTGTTATACTAAAGAATATATTACACAGAATTGAAACATGATCTAGCGCTTTTTCCTGTCCTAACATACTTCAGTTAACTCAAGCTTTTTGAACTTTCAGGAAAAACTTAAACCGTACAACAGGTGTATTCTTTATCCATCTCTGAATATTCACTATCATGAAATCCAAGGTAAAAATGGTTTCTTACCGAAATGTATGAACGGTTTTTCCACACAGCTGAAACATTGAGGGAATTTTTATGGGTTTATGGATTATATATGTCAAAACAATAGAAAGAATTAATTTAATATTATATTTTAGGTAATATTACAAAGCGTAAGTGAAACTGCTGTGATACAATTTTTCATCCATATCCATTTTTTAATATTACACACATCATTCTTGTTGTAAATCATACTCCTTGAGTGGTACTCTAGTTTATCAAGGAATATCTTGAAAAATCACTTCCAACATCAGTTTACAATGTTTTAAATCACTTGCTTGATAGTCTAAAATGTAATAAATAGATATTTAAAATTATCAGGGAACAAACTGGGATATTAATATTATTGAAGAATCATGACTACTTTAAATTTGAATAAAACCCACAACGAATTTCATATCAATAAATAATACCTTTGAGATTCTCGACAAGTGCCTTATTACATAAGAACTTTAGTCTAAATTTGAACGAATATTTTCAGTATTTAGGTTTCGAGTTAGTCAGACATTAAGGAACAAGAATGTATTTGTAAAACCTCAGAGATTGAATTTCAAGTATGTTCAGCTTTTTGCTCGTCAGTCTGGTTCAAGATTTTTCGAGAAAATGTAAATAAACATCAAAATTGTCGAATATAACTGGGTACACGTTTGTCCGGTTAACTGTATACTAAATGGGTCATCCACTCATGTTAGCAATGTTTGAAGTAAGTATTTTCTGTAGTATGTTTAAAACATGTGGTGTGTAACGAAATGTGTGTTAAGATAACAGATTGTGTGTATTCGTAAGTGGATCTGAGGTGTGAGAAGAAATTTCATTGACTATTTACCGCCTCTGACTGGTGGATTTTTGAAGAAAACATACAATTATTATGTGTAATAAGAGCCAGATACATTACAGCACGCATAGAATAAAGATAAATAGATAAAATAAAAATTAATGAATGGATTCAATTTTGTATTGGTTGTTGAATCTTCTCATTGATGTTTAGCTCTGTAATTGATCAGTCTGATGTTGGCATATTTGCATCCTGTGTAGATTGCTTCAATGTCATCTTAAGTCGCAAGCGTTATAAGCAGAGATGATGTTTGTGTTATTTGTTGTTCAAGGTAATTGTTCACCATATATTAAGATAAACCAACTGATTAGAATAGTTGCATGTAATTGTTATTGTTCAGACAATAAGTGATAGAATAAATGGGATAAAGAGTTCAGGTTTACTCAATAATTATTAGTTTTCATGAGACAGCTAATTGTATTCTGTGTCACGCATACAATCTGTTTGGATTTATCCCTTTGGCTATTAGTCTCTATTTGTAAGAACTAAAATTTTTCGTGGAATTCTTGTGCTATTGAAACCAATTTATATGGCCCGACTATGTTGAGTGTAATGTCATCAGTGATCTGCTTTCGAACTTTTTCATATCATCTGATGATTTATAAATGTGCTTTAAGCAAAGTTTGTGTTCTTTCACACTCGTATTCAGTTGTCGTGTTGTTTCACCCACATGTATAGCATTAAAATCACTACATTACACGAGTTTGTTGTTCCTCCTTTTGCATTGAATATTTGATTCTTACCAGTTTGGGTACTAGAGTATTATTTGTCCGAAAGAACACTTTTATATTTTGGAGATTTAGGATACTTCTAATCTCTTCTGAAATTCCTTTACGATATGGGACTACTACTGTGTTAATCTATCCTTTTAGTTTATCTTTTACCTTATCGTTTAGGCCTTCTTTCTTAATTATTCTTTTCATAAAATCCCTCGGATAGTTATTCATCATCAAAGTGGATATAATTAAATTCATTTCAATTTCTATATTATCTATTCAGTTATGAGTTTCTGGACGCTGTTTATCAAATTCTTGGGCTCTGTTACTTTGGTGGAATGTGCATGTGTTGACTTGTAATCGAGAAATTTCCCAGAGTATGTTTGCTTTCGGAATACATTAATTTTTTGAAAAATCACTAAAATTCCTTTCAACCAAACAGTCAAGAAGAGGTAACTTGTGTTCAATGGATTTGATCCCCCTAGTGAATCTGATGACGTTTTTAAACATTTCGTTTTATGATGACAAACGTATCATCTACGTAATTCAACCAGAGCTTTAGTGGAAGGGGACACTTAGAAACTGTAATTGTTTGCAATAAATGCATGAGCAAGAATTGGCGAAACTAGTGATTCCATAACCACACCCATTTGTCTGTAAAATTCTCCTCGGAAACTGAGAAAGTTTTAATGCAAGCATAGATCCATAGCTTTGGTAATGTATAAAGGACCTAATGAACATCTCTTTTTTAGCTGTCAGAATCCAAGAGATTATACACAATATCTAAAGCCTTCCTAAAAGGAACATTAGTGAACAAAGAGAAAACATCAGAACTTGCTATTAACTCATCTTCTTCCATATGGATAGTAGTGATGATGTCATTGGATTCACAAGAATTATTTATTCCAAATTTGTATCATATAAATTATTTGAATTATTAAAATGAAGAATTCTCCATATATACTTGGCTTCTGGGCAAAAAGAGGGAGCTCAAACTCTGGTTACAATCAATCTGTGCTTATTTCAGTATGTGAATTTATCTATTTTACAAATTATTTCAAAATATATCTCCATCATCCGTTGTATTTCTGTTCTGATAGTTTACAGTAAGCTCTTTTTATTACTAAATTGCATTAATTTGCATTTATCTTAAAAAAAAATTATCATGTTATTTTAACAGTTAAGAAGGTTCAGGTCCACAAATGTGACCGTTTAAAAATAATATAAATGTCAATTAGAATTAAAATAGACCATTTCTGACTTTATACTTTGCCTAAATATTTATAGTTTTGATTTGATCTACCACTAAATCAGACTCGCTCGAACAGCAGTAATGATAAATACAAGAGTGTCTCTATTACTATTCAACACTTTATTTATAAACGAAATAAGCTCTAAAATAAAATATTTCGAAAATATTCGTTTAAGGTACAATACTGAGTATGTAATCTGTTAATTACTACTCCATCAAATTTAATGAATCCACAACATAATGTAGACTCATTGTATGAAGTTGAAATATCTCTACAATCCTATTTCAACATAACGATAGATAAACTGATGACATAAGACTTGCATTTAATTCTCATTACGATCCGATACTTAATAAGCAAAATATTTTGAAACAGTACCGAGAAGTTTACTAAAAAATAAATCACATTTAACTGTCTAGAGGTGTTTGTAAATTTATGATATATTTGATGGTTAGAAGAGTATATAGTAGTATTAATTTCTTTTACATTCGAATTTGCCTATCAATTCAACTTTTCATAAAAGAAAGTTATTTATAAAAGTTAAGTTTATGTTCAAAGTGTTCTCTGAATTTTGATTCTTTAATTGTTTAAACAAACAGAGAAAGAATTATCAGGTGAGCACTTAGTAATTGTCAATTACGTACTTTATGTTTGGATGATAAAATGTTTTAAAGGGAATAGATAACATTATTTTGTTGCAATTTGGGTCCTGCATAGCATCCAAGGAAGCGTATGATTCTCATCCTTTCCCACAAATGCAATCAAACAAGATCGTTGAGTTGGATATGGTCCTGATCACCAGTATTGTAAGTATGAGTTACGCAAGATACCTAAAATGATAGGACCACTAAGCTATACAATCCTCTGAGTTATCCGACAAAACCTATACAATCAAAACTGAAATACATCAAGTAGATAACCCGTTATAAATCAAAGTTAGTTGCTTGTCAAAGAAGATTTGAGTCTCCACCAAACAAGAAACACAATGCTGTTGGCTAGCAACCAGGTATTTCGATCTCTTAACCTCAGATAGTCAACTAGTAGCACAAACATTGTGCAGTGATGCTAAAAAGCCTCAAGTTGCTAAGTCACTGGAAAATATGAACTATTCAAGTGTCAAAAGATGAGTGGCAGTTCGTAACAGGGAGAATCACTCCCTTCTGCATAAGAGGAGAAGTATGCGGGAAGGATTTACGTTACTGAGTATCGATGAGATAAATTCTCAATTTCGGAAAACTCGGATTACTTGTGCTTTGAGGCTCCATATGTCTAGAAATTGTTATAGAATGAAGCTTATTAAGGGTTCTATAGAGTACTCTAATCCTTTTTATTCGTACATAAACCAATAAACTAATAGAAGAGACAACACCTCAGCTTTATGGGGAGACAGTAGTACTGCATCATTAGTGGAAGACGATTATTGTAAAGCACAATTATTTTCCAATTACGTTAGCAATGTGTGCACTGTGGTGGTGCCCTCCCTTTCTGTTCATCTAAACACTCCATGCTCACTTCGAACACTGTGACTTGTGAAGAACACGATGTCTCTGATCTGTTAAATAAGCTTGATGTTGGTAAATCCATGGCAACCGATAAGATGCATCTTCGATTATTAAAGTATAAAGAAAGATAGATGTCGATACCTACATAAGAGGTACAGTTGGAGGGATTTTCACAAACAATTAGATACAGACGCAAAAGTCATCCAAAATGAATCCTGAAAACACAGTTATTTTCTTGGTTTTCGAATAGCTTCTTTGTTTATTGGGGTACAGTTATCGGTTAATTCTAAAGGATTTGTAGAGTCCCTGAAATTAAACTAGTAAAGCATGCAATTTGTATACAATACATACAGAATATTTGAGAAATAAAATTTATATTATAAACATATTGGTACAATTTAGATGTGAATGAAAGAGGTAAGTTAAATTATTTCACTAAATTAGAATTCTATCGGTCTTCACCATTATTTGTGTGTTAAGATTGCCTCAAGTCAATTTCATCAGACTTGTTGTAAATAAACAACTCTCCAGTTATATTTCACTGTATTTAGAAGTAAAACCCAATGTTAGTTGTTTAGAGTAAATAGTCTAAAGTTAGTCCAGCGTACAAAGTCATTGTGCAACGTAGACAATGGGTGCTTTGATTACAGCTATAAATGCTGACTTTTGTACATCTGGCTCAGCTATGTCAACAAGATCCGGTTTTGCGAATTAAGAGCCACTATTTTGACGTATAAACAAGTCAGACAAGAAAGTGAATAATAATGCTATTTAAAACCGAGTCTGACTCGGAAAGTAAGCTGCGCACTTAACATATCATTAAACAGAAATGGAAGGTTTCTCAGTTTAAGTAATTGGAACCACAATATTTTGTTGATGGCTGCCTTGAAGTCGTTCATCAACTTTCAGTAAAGAAAAATAATTTATTGATCATCCCAAGTTTTACTGTTTGGGGATTTTGTCAGGATGATCTTCAGAAAAAATAGAGTGTTGTTTGGATTACGCACAGTGGACCAGTGGTATGTAATTCATTTGAAGATAAACAGACTGATCAAACTTCAGATACCTTAGATTTATAACCGAAGACAAAATGTACTAGAAAAAGCAGTTTCATGAAGAAACGCACAACCGTAATGTTGTTTGTTAACTGAAGGTAACCTTCAGAAGAACAAATATCTGTTTGAATAGTCTTTTTAATACAGTTTATTGAGTGGTCGCCAAAGATTATTTGATTTAATAGTGATATTTGGTGCTAAATGTATTTGCAAGCAATTCGAATGATATTATCGTTACAAACTTCCCTTCATCCTTGAATTTAGGATGATTTGTTATTGATGAACTCAGAAAGCGCCTAAACAGTTCGGTGCCAAGCTTGAATTTCAATCTAAATGTGTTAAGTTGAAAAGTTTAACTGTATTCTTCTTTGTGACCAGTCACTTTGTATTGACGACAGCGACATTTTCTGTATGAATAGAATGTAATAAATAATCACCATCTTATAATACTAGAATGACTATAATAACCTCGTATTATGACAAAATAGGGTCTGATGGTATAAATCAAAATTCTACTTATCATCTGATAAGTTAGAGAACGTTGAACCAGACTAGTAGGGGTAATGAAATAGTTTACGATGATGACTTTGACCATTTTTGACATACAAAGTTGAGTTGATATTCAAGGAATTAATCGATTTTCTTCATTTCTTGAAATAAAAAGACAAAAGACTTAAAGGTGAGCGATAATAATTTTCATTTTATGTATTTTGAGGGCTAATAAGTTAACCATGAGTTGTTAGCATATAAGCTTCAACAAAAGATAATTACTTAAATACAATCTATAGAACTACAAACGTGCGTATCAACGAATCATTTACATGAAAAAAGTGGTAAGGAAAATATTTTCGCAGGTCAATAACTAATCGATAACTTAAGGCTCTAATTAATAGGTATATCTTTGACCACCGATCCCGGAATGGTATGCAAATACTTGTAGACAGTCAACAGTTGAAGTTTTTTATGTTCTCTTTATGTTTTTGTCCCTGAGCTAAAAGTACATTAACGAAAAGAAATTCGTGAAAACTTTCTAGTATTGATATCAGTTATAGGTATTTTGGCGGCGAATTTCAAGTATCTCGATTATTATTTAACATATATTGTGAACTTGATTGAATTATGATTTCGAATCCCATATTAATAATTTTGAGAATCGTAAGAAGAAAGTGTCTCATTAAACATTGAATTTTATTTTACACGAACTATTCTAAGCTAAACTAAAACTTTTAGTCAGGTATATTGCATTGTATTTTATAGCAATTGTTACATCAAGACGTTTTAATAACATTTAATGTTTTATATTAAATGTCTTATGTTGCTGAAGTGAATGGCTAAATTATTTATTTAGTGAAAGGTCACATACAAGAATGATGAGTTCTGTGACACAATAATTTGTATATGTATTCCTGTTCAAAGTAAAACGTACAAAATATTAATTGGAATCCTAGATTAGTACAAGTGTTCATTTTCAAAAGTTACATATTTCAAACTAATATTTGAGTCAGAAGGGGTTTTGTGGAGGTTTTTAGAAATTTCAATAGTTGAAATCATGAGCCAATTGAAGCTAGACCACCATGGAAAACCTGGAAGCACTGGACGGTCGTTTCGTCCCAGCATGGGACTCTTCGGCAGTGCGCATCCACGATCTCACCCCCCGCGAGATTCGAACCCAGGACCTATCAGTCTCGCGCGCGGGCGCTTACCCATTAGACGGCTGAGCCGGCCGGCATCCAACGGTGTTAATGTCTAACTTCAACTAATCCACGAAATTGCTCCACCGTACATCATTGTTTTCAGTGAGCTGACATCTCACAACAGACTTTGGTCGAACTCCACTGGTAACGGCTTCTCACTAGAACTCCAGGAGTATCTCTTGAAGTCAGTCACTAGTGATTATTGTCAGAAAATGATGAGTTCTGTGACACAATAATTTGTATATGTATTCCTGTTCAAAGTAAAACGTACAAAATATTAATTGGAATCCTAGATTAGTACAAGTGTTCATTTTCAAAAGTTACACATTTCAAACTAATATTTGAGTCATTAAAACTTATCAAACTTTAATAATATGTGATGTTTTATTATTGTTTCAACTCCATAAATTAAACTTCATAAACTTGGTGATTTAAAATATCCAAGGTCATTTTGAAAAAGTCTAACATTTTTCTTGTAAATTTTAAATTTAAATAGTTATGTTTAGTAACTGTGAGTAACAGTTCGTTTCTAACCGTTTTTCTAAAAAAAATTTACAAACTGGACATGCGTAACTTGGTAATGTATTGCAACTTCCGTTAAATTGTGTTAATAATTATGAAATGTCTATACATTTAATGTAGTGCAGCAACAAGTTTCATTTCTGAAGGAAGGTTATGACATAAAAGCATCATGGATCCTATCATCTGACTGATTTATTATTTCATTTCGTCAAGTCTTAAAAATCGAGTTGATCAATTTTTTTTTGATAGTCAACTTTGTATAAATAAATACTTCTTCCATCCTAATAATAGTGGAGATAAATTTCATAGTATCTGTACAGCTAACCATTTCTTATTACTAATCGAAGTTTAAAAATTTAATATTTTCGAAATTTCATTTACTTCCAATGATCATTTCATAAATAAAATACTGACCAGCTGATGAAATTCTAAATTAACCGTGACAAATACTACTTACAAATGAAATAATTTATTTATTTATTTTAACACATAGATATTGGTACAAGGAGGCACCAAATACATATGCGCCACACAAATCTCATTCGATATGTGTGAGGGCTGTGATGCTGCCCGGGTACCTAGACCGAAGCAGGTGGTTTTCTCAGGGGTCCACACCCGGAGCCTTCGACCTGAAGGTCTGACCCACAAGGCAGTGGAGCAACGTAAGGAGAAGCAGTCCCATGGTAGCCGGTGACCAACGATTGGTTCATACACCATTTGTTCCATCAGGATAGTGGAGTCCATGTGCACCATTGGTTTGGAATCAGGGTTTTCCAACTCCCCTAGGTGGACTCTTCATCAAACCGGTTAAGGCACTGGACGTTCGCCTTTCGTCCTCTCATTTTCGTAAACAACACCCCGGCCACGAGAAGGCAGTGAGTAGGACTTCCCTGGCAGAGGCTATATACGCGTGGCCATGTTAGAGCATTTCGAGAGGGAGAGCAGACTCTCCCCACTCTCGGTCGTGCCAGGGCTTTTTGGGGAACAAATGAAATAAGCTAATCATAAGCTGATGTGATAGGTTTTTAATTTGCATAACAAACTGTTATGGAACCCTAATAATAGTGTTCATATATTGGAATGAATGTGAAAGATGACGTAAAAGTTATTCCTCTAGAATACTAAAGATTATACAGTATTTTAAGAAGTTTAAATTATTGTTATTTATTTGACAGTTCAAGAAAGTAAACATCATAACGGTAAGTAAGTTTGTTCATATTTCTTTTGATCTCTTTATTGAATGAAGTGTAAATGTTGTTTTGAATAATAAATTTTATCCTTGAAAAATCACATTCATGACAGTTTTATGTATAAATGTTATTTTAGTAAGAAGCGGTTAAACTTATGTACTGAAGTTCACATTTGTATTACTGATCTCACGGATAAGTTTCTTATTTAAGATATTAGCAAAGTATGTAATGACAGGAATCAAAAAGTGATTTTGATAATTTAAATATCTCTATTTTCAAGAGTTTACTCACGAAGCATGAAATCTGAAAACTTTTAAGATCATCAGAAATATATAATAACAATACTACAGAGCCAACGTTTTATCTTAGTTATCACTTTTATTTTGAATTTTGAAGTAAACTTTTTATTGTCGAAGATATTTACCCCTTTCTAGAGGTTAAGCGTTCGTGCGCGAGACCGATAGGTCCTGGATTCGAATCCCGCGGGCGGGATCGTGGATGCACACTGCTGAAGAGTCTAATACTAGGACGAAACGGTCGTCCAGTGCTTCCAGGTTTCAATGGTGGTTTAGTTTTGATACTAATGTATTAAATGAAATACACGCATTCATAAGCAGAACAAGTAATTCAGTCAAAGAAATCTGTTCTAAAAACTCTATTTTAAAGCATTACACTATATAAACATAAATTTATTAATATGAAGAAAATTCACATGTCGGTTATAATTAGGTGCTTGAATACATAACAATGTTAGCTAATCTCATTAACAAGTAAATGTTTGCGCATAGTATTAATTAAACATCATATTTACTATTAATATGAAATAAATTGAACAACTGTAAATATTTATTAACTAATTATGATCAGAAACATATAGACGAAATTTGAGATCGAAAGAAAAATAATACACATGAGTTTACCAAGTTGATTTAAAATGATAAAGGATTAAACTCTCGAAAGTTTGTGTTTTCTTGCTTGTCTGTTTGTAGTTCAGTTAAAGTTTGTAGTTGATATTAGGTAGTGAGTCTTAGGTGAAATTATCTTCATTTTTAAAAGATTAGTTTCCCGTCTTTCTAATATGATGACTGAGAGAAGCTTGAGAATGAAGTAAAGCGTGAATGCTCTCAAGAAGCACATTATCTTGCATAAGCAAAAACTGACTTTGTCAAGATTGGTAATAAATAAGTGACTGACAAAGTAGAACTAGCGTCCTTTTAAACTATATTTGAATAAGAACAAAGCAAATACTTACAGAAAAACTATAAATCACAAGCAGCGAAAAACGAATTGTATTTTTTCGTTACCATTGCCACGTTAGCATTAAATGTACTAAACCACTTGATTAATAATACTCTATACCCCTAGATCGTGTGATAAACGAACTACCATTCATTCAATCCGAATTTAATTATTAGTAATTTAAATTCCAGTTTATGTGTTGCGAATGTTCCTATCAAAATCTATTGAAGTTAGTCGTGAAGTTATGAATTTCTTTTAGGACCAATTCAAGCAAAAGATTTTTTGACAGTTGTGAACCAATCTTTTAGAATGGGAATACTGAAAGAAGACTAAATTTTGACATAAGATAGAAAAAGAAAAAATGACTTAACATTTCTCTTAGTATTGTTAATTAAATCAAGAATTAAATTTCACATTTCCTTTCAGATGAATTTCAGCCAAACGTAAACAGGTAAACATTGACTATTTAAACTTTTTCGTCGTTCAAGAAAACTACATATAGACTTCTATGTTGACATAGTAAAATGATCCATAGTAAACAATCTATTTAATAACAGTATCGCTTACATAGCCTTTATTAGTTATAGGACATTTGATATAGATTTTTATAACAAGGGACTAACCATCTGCATGAGTTCGTTAGTTCTAAGTGATATATGGCGTAGTTTTTAACGTAAATAACTGACATTTCAGGATGGTGAGACCTTGGGTTGTTAGCAGTAATAACTTGAGTAATATAAGTGTACACTGAACCACTAACTTTTCATTGGAAATTATGCAACAAAACGTGTTGAAACGACTACAACACTTCTTTCTGTACTAAATTATATTCTCTATAAACCTTATCAATATAAATTGTAGTGAGAATTACCATAGCGCGATTTAAAAGACTTATTGTGGAATAAAATTGATAGTTAAATTGATGAAACTTTTGAAATCCAGTTACGTTTTATCTTGAGCGAATTCTGTCAAGAAATACAGATGATTGTCAAGTAATTGTTTTTTCGCATAAGTAAATAATCAAGCTTTTAAAACGTCTCAGCTTCAAAAAGTTGTTAGAAAGCCAACTACATAGTAATTTAAAGTATAATTGTTTGGTTTTACAGTTTACTTTTGGATCTAGGATGTCCCAACATGAAACCCAGAACGAAGTACTGTGCTCAGGATTGGAAAGTGCGTTTAAAACAATATCAGCTTACGTTGTTCAAAAATGGTCGGACATTAAGTCCGGAGAATATATTCACTGTAATCAGACTATTATAATTAGCCATAGTTCAGTGTTGGTGAATTAAATTAGTCAAAACATTCAGTTACACGTCCCGATAAATTGTGATCCCAATTGTGTTTGACACTTATGCTCCGATCGGATTTTGAAAAAGACCTAGAGGTATATGCCTAATATTTCTTGTTAACGGATTGATAATTTTCAGGTTATTGATAAATACGAGAAACGATTGTCTATTAAGCTTACACGTTTGTAATTTGTAGCACAATAATAAGTAGAATATGGTATGTTAAATTATGCTTTGTAACCACTTTTTATGGACTAACGAGAGTTGTTCCAACAAAATTTTACAATGATAATAATTTTCCAGTAGACTTGTAGTGAATGAGAACTCCGATGGTTAAAAACAATTTACTGTTCAAGCCCTAACTAAAGAGTGTTTTAGTTAAATATGAAAATCATACATTAAATAAATTATTTGCACATCTTTCTTCAGTTATCCTTTACATGCTTCACGATTCTTTTAATTCTGTTTTCATTACAATTGTTCTCTGTTTCCCTTCCTATTCTCTACAATTCAGTCCGCTGCTAACAGACATTCCATATTCGATTGCTACTACATACTACTTATACCTGTCGACATAAGTAGCATACACCACAGACTTGGTTTTATTTATCTACCTGGATTCATATTTATAAGATCTTAATTGAATAAACCCTTGAAAACTGCATAGTTTAAGTTAAAATTATTTCAAGCCTTTTCAGAGGTAATCTTATACGTAGAATTGGTGTGTAGCTATGATTACAAAATAGTTAATACTCTTATTTTTCTACTTTATTTTTCACCATGCGTCATAAAGAGTGAAAATTATCTGTAGAAACAAATAAATCCAACATTGCATGTTCTTAAATAGAGCTCTATTTGAATTCATAAAGGGAATCAATTGCATGAAATTGCATGTTCTAATGAAATTAAGTCCTGTTTGGACCTGTATCAGATCACCTTGATTCAGAATAGGGCATCTCTTCACAGTGGTAACTAAATGACTGCTTAATTTACACCATTAAGCTCTCAGTGTCAGTTGAAGTTTGTGAGTGCTGCACAAACATCTTTAAGGTACTAACTAACTTACGCCTGTCACCCCTTGTGAAGGAGCATGTGCCACTCACCAAAATTCTACATCCAACTCTGTCCTAGTCAATCCTTTCCAGATCTTTAGAGTTTCATATTCATTCTTTTAGTGTTTGCTTCCGATTCCCGGCACAACGTGTTCTTTGGTCTTCCTCTTTTCCTTTTTCCTTCAGAATTCCAAGTTAGAGGTTGGCTAGCGATGTAGTCTGATGATTTAGGCAATATATATCCTATCCACCTCTAGCGTCTTTTTCTAATTTCCTCTTCAGCTGGAAGCTGGTTTGTCCGTTTCCATAGTGGGTTGTTGCTGACCAACGGTCAGTGAATATCTTGCATAGACAATTGTTTATAAATACTTGTACCATTTTGATGATGGTTGTGTCAGTAATTCAAGTTTCAGCTCTGTACAGTAGAACTGCTTTGACGTTCGTATTGAAGATTCTGACTTTGATGTTGGCTGACAGTTGCTTTGAGTCCCATATGTTCTTTAGTTGCAGGAATGTCGCTCTTGGTTTGTGGCTCCTTGCCTTCACATTTGCATCAGGTCCACCCTGTTCATCGATGATGCTGCCCAGATACTTTTAAGGTGGTGATCATGAAAAAAAATTAAATTTAGCAATTTTTATTCATCCATCTGATTTCAATCAAAACTTAATACCTAAATACTACAGAACATATAGTTCGCAAACCTATGTCCATATATTTTATTATTTATACTTCAAAATAATGGTAAACGTCCCTCTCCAACATAATAATCAATGTATCTAAATCAAACAACAGGGCTTCAAGTTAATCTTTATGATATAAAACAAGTAGATTTAATCTGAATGAAATTCACACAGCTGAAAACTTATGTAATTTGCTCAATTGACAAGATCATTTAAAAGGGATTACAAAGTAATCTGTCATTTCCATTAGTATTCATATTATTCTTATTCAAATTTCAATTTATGTGTTAATATTTTTGTTCAAATAGTATCTACCAACTAGAGTACTTATGATCAAATGTACAATTAACACTGAAACTAGATTTTTCCGTAATTATCAATTTGTGTGTTCTACTCAAGAAGTTTGTAAACAAAGGATAACATCAATGATTTAAAAGAAATAATTCACGATAAAATGTAAAATTCATAAGATTGCAAGTCAGAGAAGTCTATGATTGAATCATTATTTATAAACTACTAACTATATATTTTAATCATTGAATTACATAATCACTCGTGAACTAAAAGTAATGCAGATTAAGCGTATCTAATTCTATCGACCAAGATGTAGTGTAGTTAATGGTCTAAGTAACTTAGAGTAGTATGCTCTGTTTTTTTATGTAAAGTAATTGCAAAATACTGACTGTAAATTTTTTTGTTTCACCTTAACTTTCAACATATTTTCAGTTGTTCATATATCTTTCTTTTGTTATAGGGAACTATTCAATCACTGTTTTCTAACTTTTGATAATTTGGCTAAACTTATTCAAAATGATCATGCATTAAAATAAAAGTGAATAATATTAAGTGAACTTACTGACATACCCTGAAAGCCAGTTTTATAAGTTATTTTTTTGTAGAAAAAACTTTTTTTGTTGATGTTCAAATATTCATACAAAGATCATCAGTGAATTCAGCTAACGTCATAGGGTTCAACTAGTCTCTGTATTTTCTTTTGTAACTACAGATTCTATCCCTCCGAAAAGTGCGATTGAAAAATAACTACAATAAACTGACGGGTGTTGCAAACAAGATAATGAAAAACTTTGTAAATAAGGGTGAAACTCAGAAAATCTCTTGTATTACAAATGACGATATACAGTGGTCAATGCCAGGTGTGGCTAAGTTTCAAACATTGTTCAGTGTTTGAGAGGACTATGATAACGATGATATTTGTTATCGCTGCTTATTTTGTGGTTCCGTGTTGATCACCATTTGAGCATTGTGTAATGGACCTTCGTGTATTTTGCCCGTTTAAAACATATTCATAAGATTTAACTCTCATTTCATGGAAAGGTTAAGTGACAGGATTTTGTTAGCCTGAAAATCATATTATAAGCTGGATTTTATTTCATGAGACACGGCCCATGAGTAAATACATCGAAAAGGAATGTTTTGTGTAATTTTTCTGAAGTAATTATTAGACAATATACTTTCAAACTTTGCTGGAGCAAACATTTTGCTCCTTAAGATCAGTATTTTTTTTGCAGAATAAGGGTGAAGAGATCTCAAATATGGAAGCATTTGATAATGAGGCTGTTCAAGACTTTTATTAAGTAGTCTCAAGTCCGATAGAAAAAAATGTTCAGGGTGAGTGAGTAAGTGGGAAGTTAAGTTTTAACTGTAGGCTTATGTATCATGAACCGTAATATCGGAATTAGCTAGTTGATAGGGGAGGTGTGATGCATGGCATAATAAGTTCTGATATAGTGAGAATGCTTGACTGGGCCGCTTCAACTAATCTTGTGTTCAATAAAACCATTATGATCACTATTAATGTTAATGACTTACGAAGCTAACTATTTTAGGGATTTATTTACTATTACATGTATCTTAGGTTAAAGTAGGTGTAATTGTTCTTTTAATCCCTGAAGATCCTGAAAAATTAAAACGTCTACGTAAAGGAAAGCATCACTGTAGGGTAGTAAATGGTGCTCATGTATGTAACTATGAATACAAACCGTGAAAAATAACTATATGAATACAGTCACTGGGCTGAAAAGCCAGAAGTTGTTGTAGAACCAAATCTGTCAAAATAAAAGTTTAGGTTAACAATCAAATAATTTGATCTTCCAAAGTCAGATTGACAACAATTTACACTGAAGATGGCACAGGTATTCAGTGTTTGACAACGCTTTTACCAGTAGCACCTTTTAATATAACTCGTACCCACCAAGAGAAATCGAAAGACAGAATCGAGGAGATCAGAAGTTGTATTTGACGATTGCCAATATATCGGAATTGTCTGATCTAGTCTGGCTAGCGATTGCAGTAGATGTTGAGCACGGCGTTCCCACACGTGATCTGGTGCGGATGCATGACCGAGCGCCTTCAGCTAGGTGAGTCTACTAAAACTAATGTGATCAGCATCCAATGTTGAAAACTTACAGAGCTATTTATTTTGGGGATTTATTTATCGATACAGCACAAGTCTTTTACAACACAGCTACGATAAATTCTCTAATTAGACGCTTAAAAAATACAAACTAGTTACTTGACGAGAGAAGATATCTTCAACAGACTAGGAGTATAATTTTACCGATTTACTTATCTAGAGTAGTGAGTAAAGCAGAATTAAAATGGCTAACCAAACTCAAGAAACGAAAACGATACATGAGGAAAGCGAAATCGCATGTAAAATAGATATTAACAATTTTACCTAGAACCAAAATGTAGGTAGAATGCACGAATTAAGGTATCAAGAATCACAACTATCAATGAAGCTGAAGTATTAACACTAATCGTCTCGTTGAGTCGTACCAACATTGTATCTTTTGGGGTCAACATCTCAAGTATTGTGTCTTTAATTGTAACTATTGTCCCTTCCAGTGCTTTTACAGTCCGTATTTGGAGTTCAGAGTTAGTGAAAATTGCCTGTGGAAGCATAAACGATTCTTATTCTTATTAATGTTACATTGGACAAACGTAAATAATGGTGTAACGAAAAAGCACTTTTACTGTACCGGTGACTGGAACTTGTTATAGTTACATAAATTTGCTTCTGTGACACTAGTTTGTTCACTCTGGTTCGGGTATACGTGATACCTTGCATTTTGTTCTCACTTTGAATGTGAAAATTCCAACAGCAAAAAAGACTTTATTTAGGGTGATACGAAAGCTTTTTGTTTCATAGGACGTACACATGAAGAAAGCTTTACAAGCAAACACAGATGCGAATATATACATACACATGTGCATGCATACATACGTAAAGGACATTACGAGTTGTCTCTCATTTTGAGCGGCTCAGATGCCACAATACTCCGAGCACTGTGAAATATGTCGGGTCATAGTCATTAAAGTACAGAAGATTTTCATTGTTTTCCATGAATTTGATCAAAAAGACTAATAGCTTATTCCCTCAAACTTAGTTGCAAGCTACATTTGTTGAGTAATACTTGATAAAATGATCAAATGCTTGATACCATGGAAGTCTCTGTCTGTTTTTGGGCCGTAACCGTACTCTTCAAGTCTAGAATAGGTTTTTCTTAGCAAGAAACATTGACAGGCGAAGTACTATTTCGTATGTGCCCCAACCAGGCTGCTAAGATTCAAGTGTAGACAAGCGTGGGACCATAACGGCCGGGGATAAACTCCACGTTGTCAAGTCACTTAAGTGTATCGTAGTCAGTAGTTGCGGTTGTGTTTTCATTTGTTTAATCGCTCAGTTGTAGATATTTTGTAATAGTTTCCATTACACAATTAATTGGAGGTATAACCTTTGCGATGTTGTGATTTTTCTTCCATCATAACTTAGTGCTCTACACTGACACGTCCGTAACATGATGATTTGGTATTTTCGTTGTAGCAAATTTTACATTTTCCGTCCAAACTAGAAAAAATGTTAGAGATTGAAAAATGTCATGAATCATGGATTACGACAGTGTAAATAATAATTCCCGCTTCATTTTGGTTGTTTGTCAGGTGCAAGGTAGAAATTGAGAATAAGAGTGGAGTTTAGCTTCATCCTTCATAACCATATTACTCAGTCGAAATTCTACCACTAAGTTTCCCAGTGGTAAATAACCCACTAAAATAAATGGCTTGGATGGAACTTGGTTATGTATCTTGACTATCAGCCACTATGATGCACGTTATATTTTTCTTTTGCTGATCAGATATATTGGCCTGTTCTACATTTACTATCTTCAATATCTGTATTCCGCTTAAGTCATTTGATGGATATTGTTATCAATAGTACCTGGTATTCTGACATCGCCTTTGCGGAGAAAAGGATTTTAATAATTAGTTACGCTCATGATGGTATGGGTCTTAGTTAAGCGAAAATGTGATAGTATCTGAACTTGTACGATCAAACCTACGCAGATAAATTGCTAAAGGACAACAAATATATTAGTTTTTAAATGGGAAATTAGTGCTCACTATGCAAGGGGAGTGTGTTAGCAAGCAGATCACCAAAATAAAATGTTCTCTAAGTCTTCTACCTTGATGATGACATCATTAGTTTTACCGGACATATCTCTAGATAAAGACACATATTCAAGTATCCAAAAATAGATGAAGCTGGGGTGGTCTATTTCGCACATCTCTTACAACCGATAATAAACTATGATCATATACTTCTCGACACACCATCTATCTTACGAATATTTCTTCGAACCCTGACATTCATGACTTCTGATTTGACTGGATCTGAGAACGTCGATTACAACTGCGTTACGGACAATGAAGTTATTAGGCATTACATATCCGTGGCATCTTCCATGGTGAGCTTGGTCGTAGTCTGGTACGCTGAGAGATAAACTCCTGTCTGTTCCTTGTTATAAAACTACATATACATTTCACATACTGTGATACTGCTTTTGTGTTCTCATGACCTCTTTTCTAACATTCATAAGTTTTATCCTCTTTATGTCGAAGCAAACATTTGAAAATTCAAGGACTAGGTCTATTATGCCTTTCATCTCGCAGCTCATGCCATTACGGCATGACACTATCGAAGCCCTTTCTCTCATGAAGAAAGCTGACTTTCATGAGCTCGGTATGATCGATAAACTTGCTCAGTTACTCGTGGTAGTGAAGACATCACCCTGAGAGTTTCACAAGAACTTTACACCTGCCACGTTTAATAGTATGTTCATGGACTTTGTGAAACTGTGTAAAAGGCCGTCCTTGGACATCGAGACCTAACCAACCGGTAAAAGTTAAGTCAGTGATCTTGGAAAAACGAGTTCTGAGACAGTTCGGCAACTGAACTGTTGTTACGTATAAGAACGCTCATGTTTCACATCGCACCTGGAGTTTTTTGATCAAATTACCCAGAGAAGAGATGTTGGTCAGTCAGTGATAATTCTTTACTTCGATTTTAGTAAAGCTTTCGACAGTGTCTCACACAAACTTCTTCTTTTAAAACTCTCTTCATTTGGCATACAGAATCCCCTTTTATCTTGGCTCAAATCTTTTTTAGAAGAACGTAGCCAAATCGTTCGCTTTGGATCTTGCTACTCTAAACCTGTAAATGTAACCAGTGGGGTTATACAAGGAAGTGTGGTTGGTCCATTACTCTTTCTCCTTTTTATCAATGATGTGTGTTCCCTCTTTCAGTATGGTAAGCCTTTCCTTTTTGCTGATGACCTGAAAGTAGTTTATTCATTCTCTTCTCCCACGAAAGAAAGCTATATTTCTGCGGTAATCCAGGAGGAAATAAACAAGTTGTACGAATGGACTATTTCGTGGAATATGCCACTTAATGTTGACAAAAGCGGATTTATTCACATTGGTCTCTGTCTTAACTTAAATCTGACTGTACAGACACATACACTCAAACCTC